GATTAAGATTCATGTGGAAGGGGCTTTTCTCTAATAATATATCTGTCCTATATAATCAGTTTGAACGGCTATACAAGTCTATAGTAAAGTCTATATTCTATAGACAGGGTCAAGGTTCTTTCTTCTACTGAAATGCAAGTATATGTAAAGTTTGAGTCTCTGATGGACTGTGTACTTTCTTAAAGTATAGAGGGATATAGAATTCTAGAACGAGAATCATTAGAAGTCAAAGACTCATACTTGCAATGGTGGCCATTTTATACCAAGAAACAAAATATATTACTCAGAGTCTATATAGGTTGTCTGGGTAATTTGGGACTTCTATTGGAGTTTCTTAACTTCATACTTGGTGGAAAATAGAGAAACCAGTATTCTAAATATAGATTCAAATTTTATGGAGATCCCCTCAGTTTCCCCACCTCTTCATTGATTCTTTATATGAAACCATTACACATGTCCAGGGGACAAAACATATCCTGGATATTCTTTCACTTTCCTTAAAGTTGAGGGAATAATTTTGATCTGCTTAGTGCTTGCTGGTTTTTTTCACCTTTGAGATTATGACATGATAATTTTCCCTTGATATGGGGACTCAGAAACATCTCATTTATGTTGTGTCCTTTCCAGTTTGATATTATTTTGATATACTTGCGGAAACTCAAACAAAAGCTAAAATATCCATCTTATATGTGACAAACTCCATGATGGTAAACACCGCGTTCTTCAAACTTTGTGAATTTTCTAGAAGAAACTTGGTTTTCCTGTGCATGGGGAAAAGATCATCTTACAGGAATAAGACAAATTGTTGTGGGATATACATCTTTTTTGATTAAATTATACTATAATAAAATCTTCATATATTTGAAAAATATCACTTTTGTCTTTTCTATACGACATTCCTGGCCCCTTTAGCATTAGTTTCTACTCTATAACAAAAATTTATTTATTACAATATACACTACCGAAATGAGAAACAGTACCTTCTCAGTTTTTGTTTCTAGTTTCATTTATTTTATCCTTATTTTCTTTTACCTTCCTACCAGCCTTTTCCCAAACACTTCATATTTTTTAGCTTTTAATACTATTCCCTCCCTATATTCATTATTACTTCTTTTCTATTTTCATTTTTTCTTGTTTTTACTTACTCCTTCCTTCATTCCCTCTCTCTTCCTTTCTTTCCTAATAATTCTACTGGGAAATATCCTTTTATAAACCTGAAAATTTTGTTCAAGAACCACTTCATGTCAAAGTATATTACTTCAAAGGAATCTAAATCTCCTTTTGAGTAGAAACTTGTGAGTACCTTGCAGCTTCATTTGCATAGAGGCAGCTAGTTTTTGATTGGAAACATAGAATTAGAAAGCATAATGTAATGTATTTTCTTACTGAGAACATTAACAGGAGAGATATGAATGAGGTAATGAAACAGTATTTAAACGCATGAAATAGTTTCCTTTCAAATTTTCCATTGACGTTGTGACTTATCTACCTAGCAAACATATAACAGAAAATAAATAAATCATTTATACTTTTATGGAATTTCCCTCAAACATGGATAAAATCCCCACAAGATTTTTCAGGTCAAAATTTAGAAAGTCTGGCATCCATAATTTTCTATATTATAGAGCCTATGCGTATCAGATACTCTCTGATCATAGGTAGAATAATGGGATTCACATGGACATGTAATACTTTAAGATATTGTTTGAACCATGCACAAAACCTAAGTCTAAATGGATCAAAGTCCTCAACATAAATCCAGCCACAGTGAACCTTCTAGAAGAGAAAGCAGAAGATAACCTTGAACAAACTTGTACAGGAGACAGCTTCCTGAACATAACACCAGCTGCACAGACATTGGGATTTACAATTAGCAAATGGGACCTCTTGAAACTGAATAGCTTCTGTAAGGGAAAGGACACAGCCAGTAAGAGAAAATGACAGCCCACAGAATGGGAAACGATCTTCACCAACCCCACATCTGACCTGAGGGTTGATTTTCAAAATGTTAAATGAACTGAAGAAGCTAGTCTCCAAAACACTAATGAATGAAATTAAAAATTGTGGTACAGAACTAATGCTAAATGCTAAACAGAAGAATCTAAAATGGGTGAAAGACAGTTATGAAAGTGCTAAAAATCCTTAGCCTTCAGGGAAATTCAACTGAAAATAACTCTGAGATACTATCTTATACCAGCCAGAATGGCTAAAATAAAGAACACCTTTCTTTCTTTTTTTTGGTTTTTCAAGACAGGGTTTCTCTGTGTAGCTTTGGAGACTGTCTTTGCACTCGCTCTGGAGACCACGCTTGCCTCGAACTCACAGAGATCTTCCTGCCTCTGCCTCCCGAGTGCTAGGATTAAAGGCGTGCAGCCAAAAATCACCTTTCTTTGTTACCAAATAATTAGGCAGTCTTAGAGATGATTCTATGTGATAAGATGCCGTGAAGACTCTTTGGTGTTTGGATCGAACTTTCAAGAGATGTCATCTAGTCCATATGAGTCAGAAAACTGATCATTTCACTTATTTTCAGTAACTTTGTAAGATGCAGTTTGGAAGTCTCCCACTATTAGTTTGTGGGCTGGGAAATATGATCAAAGTTTACTAATGCTTTCACAAATATGCTTGATGCTATATTTGGAACATGAGTGTTCAGAATTAAGACTTCGTCTTGGTGGAATTATCTGATGATGAATATGACATATCATTCTCAATTACTTTTGAAAATTTTATTTTGAATTCTACTTTCCTAGATATTAGGGTAGCATTGCCAGCTTGGTTCTTAAGTCCACTGCATGGGAAAATTATTTCCCAACCTGACACTATGAGGTAGTAACTGTCTTTGATGTTGAGCTGTGTTCCATATTTGCATGAGAAGAGAGATGCTCTTGTCATACACAATCTATTAGGCTTTGAGTTTTTATTTGTTTGTTAGTTTGTGTGTTTGTTTGGTTTTCATGTTAGTACTTAGGTGTCTGGAGTATACATTGTTCAAGGTTATTTCTTCTATTGAAATTCAAAGATATTTAAAGTTTGGGCCATGATGGACTGTGTGCTTTCCCAAAGCATAAAGGAATCTAAAATTCTGAAATGAGAAATATTAGAAGACACTGTCTTACATTGCAATGCTGGCCATGTTTACCAGGAAACAAAATTTATTACTCCGGGAGTATACATGTAGTGCTGGATAACTTGGAAACTTTCCTGGATTTTCATGCTTCATGGATGGTGGAAAACAGAGAAATCAGAATTGTAAAGAGGACTCAAATTTTACAGAGCTCCACCCTCAGTTTCCAGGTATTCGTTGGCTCTTTAAATCAAACATTATATTCCATGGAACTATTTGAGGAATATTTGTATTAGCTCTTCTTTGAATTTCTGTTAGAATTCTGCACTATAGCCATCTGGTCCTGGGCTTCTTTGGTTGGGAGTCTTTTTATGGCTGCTTCTGTTTCCTTAGGTATTATAGGTCTGCTTAAGTTGCTTATCTGCCCTTGATTCATTTTTGGTGAGTGATGTCTGTCTAGAAAATTGCCATTTTCTTTAAATTCTCAAGTTTTGTGGAGTACAATTTTTCAAAGTATGGCCTAAAGATTCTGTGGATTTCCCCAGGGTCTGTTGTTATTTCCCCCTTTTCATTTCTGATTTTCCTAAATTGCATGTTTTTTCTCTGCCTTTTGTTTATTTTGGATACAGTTTTGTCTATCTTGTTGACTTACTCGAAGAACCAACTCTTTGTTTGTTACATGGATTCTTTGAATTACTTTCTTTGTTTTGACTTTATTGATTTCTGGCCTTTGTTTGATTATTTCCTGGTGTCTACTACTCTGGGGTGAATTTGCCTCCATTTGTTCCAGAACTTTCAGCTATGATGTTAACTCTTTGGTGTGACTACTTTCAAGTTTCTTCATGTGAGCATTTAGAGCTATGAACTTTCCACTTAGAATTGATTTCAAAGTTTGGGGATTTTGTGTCTTCATTTTCATTGAATTCTAGGAAGTCTTTAATTTCTTTCTTTATTTCTTGATTGACACTGGACTGGTGCAATTGCTGTTATTTCAATTTCCATGATTTGGTAGGTTTACTGAAATTTGTGTTTTTTTTAAGTTGAAATTTAAAAGCATGATTGTCTTCTAAAACATAAGGGCATATTTCAAATATTTTGTACCTGTTGTGGTTCCTTTGTTCCCGAGTATGTGGTTAATTTTAGAGAAATTTCCATGTGTTGCTGAAAAGACGGTATATTCTTTTTTGTTTTGTTGGAATATTCTAGTGACATCTGTTAATCCCAGTTGAGTCATAACTTCTGTTACTTCCTTTGTTTCTTTGTTAAGTTTCTGTCTTGTCTTCCTGTCCAGTGGTGAGAATGTGGTGTTGTAGTCTCCCACTCTAACTGTGTGAGTTTTTATTTGCAAATTGAGTTTTAATGGTTCTTTTACTTACAGCGATGCCTTTATATTTGGGGCATTGATGTTCAGAATTGAACATCCTCCATCGTCGGGATGGTTATATCCTGTGATGTATATGAAATGATTTTCTTCAACACTTTTGATTGATTTTTCGTTTGAAGACTAATTTTTTAGATACCAGGATAGCAACCCAAGCTTGGGTCTTAGTTCCATTTGAGTGGAATGGAGAATAAGAAGGAGAGATGTGGAGGGGTGAGGAGTTGTTGGGTGAGGAGGTCATGATCAGGGAGATTGGGGTGTGAGAAGAATAGAGGAGAGCATGATAATAGATACCCTAGTGAAGGAAGACATTATAGGTTTACAGAGAAATCAGACACTGGGGAAATGCGTGGAGATCTACAAAGTTGACACCAACTAACAATCTAAGCAACAGAGGAGAGGCAACCTGAAATACTTTCCACTCATAGTGAGATTGATCGCTAACTTATATGCCAACCTAGATTCTTCATCCAGCAGATGATGGAAGTAGACACAGACACCACACCTAAACACTGAACTAACCTGGAATCGAGTTACAGAGAAGGAGGAGTGATGAGCAAAGTGGACCAGAACAGGCTGCTGAACCCTACAGAAATAGCTGACTTGATCAAGGGGGAGATCTATGTCCCCACACTGTTCGCTGGTAAGAAGTATGGATTGATCCGGAATGCACAAATTTGCCTGACAGTGAGGAAGCCTCAGAAATCTATATCAGTACTTATCTCTAGCTTAGGAATGGACTTTGGGAGCCATTTCACATGGAGGGAACCTCCCTCAGCTTAGAGTATGGAGGAGTGACTAGGCCCTATCAAAAAAGATATGATAGTCTCTGAAGAACCTACATGAAAGACCTCACTCTCCTTTGGGAGCAGAAATGTTATTGGAGAGGTATGTTATTAGTGGGTGTCAGGGGATGAGGGGAGGGAGAGGGATCTGGAATTGACATGTAAAAAAATCTTTTTTCTAATTTAAATACAAAATGGAAGAAAAAGGCTAAAATTACAACAACTAATGTAGCAAAATATATGAGTGCATCACCATGAAGCATTAAATCTTCAATAAAAGAACAAGCAACTTGGGTCTATCTCCATTTTTGGAGCCAAAGCATATGGGATACATCTAAATGGTCAACATTCAACTGGAATAGTATACTGGTATAATGATGCATATACTTACATGTGTACTGGACTGAAGCCATAGTAGTTTCCTATGGGAAAGCAGAAATAAAAATAATTAAAGCCAAACAGAGGCTTGTGGCTTCTTCCTGATGACTAAGTCCAGGAGGATCTATTGCAAGGTCATGAATGGTTGTGGTTGGCTTTTATATGAAGATGTAATAGATTTTTACAGAGAGATCATAAGGGTTTCCAGGCAACTGGGAAAGAAATCTTTCTGCCCATATCATGGACACAGAAACAAGGAGCAACTAAGATGAAGTTTTGCACTTGGGTATTTTAATATCCTAGGACAAAAACCATTGT